CCCCCCCCCCAACTTGAAAATTGAAAACAATTTGTGAATCATAGCACAGCCTCAAACACCGGTAGACAATTCATTAATCAAAGCACAAACAAAACAATGCTGTGGGTACGGCTAACCGAATAGTGTCATGCTTACCTTTGTGACAGGAAAGAACAGACCCAGATAGACACAAGTGATGCAGCACTTGTCTGAGAGAACAATGCTGTGGGTACGGCTAACCGAATAGTGTCGTGCTTACCTTTATTACTTACCTTTGTGACGGGAAAGAACAGACCCAGATAGACACAGGTGATACAGCACTTGTCTGAGAGAACAATGAAGTGGGTACGGCTAACCAAATAGTATCATGCTTACCTTTGTGACAGGGAAGAACAGACCCAGATAGACACAGGTGATGCAGCACTTGTCCGATAGAACAATGATGTGGGTACGGCTAACCGAAAAGTGTCGTGCTTACCTTTGTTACTTACCTTTGTGACAGGAAAGAACAGACCCAGATAGACACAGGTGATGCAGCACTTGTCTGAGAGAACAATGCTGTGGGTACGGCTAACCGAATAGTGTCGTGCTTACCTTTATTACTTACCTTTGTGACGGGAAAGAACAGACCCAGATAGACACAGGTGATACAGCACTTGTCTGAGAGAACAATGAAGTGGGTACGGCTAACCAAATAGTATCATGCTTACCTTTGTGACAGGGAAGAACAGACCCAGATAGACACAGGTGATGCAGCACTTGTCCGATAGAACAATGATGTGGGTACGGCTAACCGAATAGTGTCGTGCTTACCTTTGTTACTTACCTTTGTGACAGGAAAGAACAGACCCAGATAGACACAGGTGATACAGCACTTGTCCGACAGAACAATGATGACCACTTTGGTGCTGAAGTTGGATACACTGACGGAGATGCGGCGGGCGTAGTTGATCATGACAACCAGAGACCCGCGACGGATGGGGTTGGAGGGTCCGAACAGATCGCTGGACAACCTGTGACGCTTGGAGGCGGAGGCGTCATGGACGGCTGACCTCTTCATGGTCCACTGATTCCCAAGGCGGTCACGCAGGTACTGGATGAAATGGTTTATATGGGGTCACGCAGGTACTGGAATAAATTATATAAATGGCGATGCACCTATAATATAATACATGCAATTATTAAATAACACATGTACTTAATATAACGCATACGATTATTATATAAAACATCCACAAATTATATAACATTTATTCTAATCGTAAATACCATAATAAGACTTTTGTTTTACCCACCCCCACCCCTACATCCCATAAGGTTCTGAAAACTTCCAAATGTCCACCATCTTCATTATGTAGATAACGTCTTCGAATCGATTCCTCCCCATAGCAGGCAAACATAGACACAAGATACTACCAGTATTATTTTTTCTCCTTCGTGCCTGAGACATATGAGCAGATGAAGCAGAGTTCATCTATTTCAATAACTTTGGCATTCGGGGGATACTGTGGTCAAGACTATGCCCAGCCGTCTTAAATTTCCCTAATATGAGTCAGGTACCCATCAGAGCTGGGTGGACTCAGTGAGTCAGGTACCCATCAGAGCTGGGTGGACTCAGTGAGTCAGGTACCCATCAGAGCTGGGTGGACTCAGTGAGTCAGGTATTCATCAGAGCTGGGTGGACTCAGTGAGTCAGGTACCCATCAGAGCTGGGTGGACTCAGTGAGTCAGGTACCCATTAGAGCTGGGTGGACTCAGTGAGTCAGGTACCCATCAGAGCTGGGTGGACTCAGTGAGTCAGGTACCCATTAGAGCTGGGTGAACTCAGTGAGTCAGGTACCCATTAGAGCTGGGTGGACTCAGTGAGTCAGGTACCCATCAGAGCTGGGTGGACTCAGTGAGTCAGGTACCCATTAGAGCTGGGTGGACTCAGTGAGTCAGGTACCCATCAGAGCTGGGTGGACTCAGTGAGTCAGGTACCCATTAGAGCTGGGTGGACTCAGTGAGTCAGGTACCCATCAGAGCTGGGTGGACTCAGTGAGTCAGGTACCCATTAGAGCTGGGTGGACTCAGTGAGTCAGGTACCCATCAGAGCTGGGTGGACTCAGTGAGTCAGGTACCCATTAGAGCTGGGTGGACTCAGTGAGTCAGGTACCCATTAGAGCTGGGTGGACTCAGTGAGTCAGGTACCCATTAGAGCTGGGTGGACTCAGTGAGTCAGGTACCCATCAGAGCTGGGTGGACTCAGGGACGTGGAACAAACTCGAGCCCCGGACTCATGACTTTTGAGTCAGTAATGCAACATACTGTAAAAACTGATTATTCCACACACAAAATATCACATCATTTTTGAAGAAAATCACTTGCCGGATTTTCAAAATCAGCGATTTATGCATTGTTTTACGGTAAAACTCAAGTTAGACATGGCGTGTCTAATTCCCAACCCCTTTGAAGGGAAAACACTGTCTAACTAAGTCTAAAAAATAATGTATCGCAAATTTTTACCTACCCCTTACCTGTGGCTAGTTCCCTATTCAACGGACAAAGGTTCAAGATATTTTTTTCCGCCAGACAAGTTCTCCGCCAGATTATTTCTATGTCAAATTTGAGACCCACTCACTAATGAAACAGATCTCAAATTTTTTTAGTCTTCTGATGCCCAAGCTAGCGTCTGTATTCACAAGTCAGCAATGATTTTTTGCTGTTAGTCACTACCTCAGTACCTCTTCTGTTGATAAGGTAATCACTACCTCAGTACCTCTTCTGTTGATGAGGTAATCACTACCTCAGTACCTCTTCTGTTAATAAGGTAATCACTATCTCAGTATCTCTTCTGTTGATGAGGTAATCACTACCTCAGTACCTCTTCTGTTGATGAGGTAATCACTACCTCAGTACCTCTTCTGTTGATGAGGTAATCACTACTTCAGTACCTCTTCTGTTGATGAGTTAAGCTTGGACAAGACATTTCTAGAATCGTCATCTACAGTTTTGAAGTTTTTAGAACCTGAATTATTTCGTTTCATGTTTTTTTGATTCAAGAAATGCACTTTTTTAAAGTGATAATAAGTTTTGTTTTCTTGACTCCTATTTCGGATTTTTCCGAAACAGAAGTCCGTGCGCAGTTTTTAGTTCGTAGATGTGTCGTTTTCAAGAGGTGTGTTAGGTAAGCTACACAACCGTCGAGTTTTTTAAATGAATAGCGGTGTAGCTACTGTGATTTGTGAGCCGTTTATAGTGTGGTTTGTGTGCCGTAGTTAGTGTGGTTTGTGTGTTGTAGTTAGTGTGTTTTGTAGGCCGTAGTTAGTGTGGTTTGTAGGCCTTAGTTAGTGTGGTTTGTGTGTCGTAGTTAGTGTGGTTTGTGTGCCGTAGTTAGTGTGGTTTGTGTGTTGTAGTTAGTGTGTTTTGTAGGCCGTAGTTAGTGTGGTTTGTAGGCCGTAGTTAGTGTGGTTTGTGTGCCGTAGTTAGTGTGGTTTGTGTGCCGTAGTTAGTGTGGTTTGTAGGCCGTAGTTAGTGTGGTTTGTAGGCCGTAGTTACTGTGCTTTGTGTGCCGTAGTTTGTGTGGTTTGTGTGCCGTAGTTAGTGTGGTTTGTGTGTTGTAGTTAGTGTGTTTTGTAGGCCGTAGTTAGTGTGGTTTGTAGGCCGTAGTAAGTGTGGTTTGTGTGTTGTAGTTAGTGTGTTTTGTAGGCCGTAGTTAGTGTGGTTTGTAGGCCGTAGTAAGTGTGGTTTGTGTGTTGTAGTTAGTGTGTTTTGTAGGCCGTAGTAAGTGTGGTTTGTGTGTTGTAGTTAGTGTGTTTTGTAGGCCGTAGTTAGTGTGGTTTGTAGGCCGTAGTTAGTGTGGTTTGTGTGTTGTAGATGGTGTGGTTTTCATAGCGTACCATTGAGAGTAACTTCAAGTGGACTAATTACTGTATGTTGACATCATACAAATGACATTAAAGACTGACATCACATAAATGACATTAAAGGCTGACATCATACAAATGACATTAAAGACTGACATCACATAAATGACATTAAAGGCTGACATCATACAAATGACATTAAAGACTGACATCACATAAATGACATTAAAGGCTGACATCATACAAATGACATTAAAGACTGACATCACATAAATGACATTAAAGGCTGACATCATACAAATGACATTAAAGACTGACATCACATAAATGACATTAAAGGCTGACATCATACAAATGACATTAAAGACTGACATCACATAAATGACATTAAAGACTGACATCACATAAATGACATTAAAGGTTGACACCAGCATCATGTTCACTAACACAGGATAAAATCGAAGTTTGAAAAAGGTGTTTATTTACAATCAATAGTGTGTTATCCTTATGTGTGACTATACGTATATATTAGCTGCTACATACATACTACATCTACATCCCTACGTATGACCACCTTTCTTAATGTGGCTACATCATCATTTACGGCTACCTCTAAACTTCATGTGACATCCTTTCTTGTCACTACAGTCCTTCGTTTGGCTACCACCCTAATTGTGACTACCACCCTAACTGTGACTACCACCCTAATTGTGACTACCACCCTAATTGTGACTACCTCCCTAATTGTGACTACGACCCTCATTGTGACTACGAACCTAATTGTGACTACGAACCTACTTCTGACTACGAACCTACTTCTGACTACAAACCTACTTCTGACTACGAACCTACTTCTGACTACGAACCTACTTCTGACTACAAACCTACTCCTTACTACGAACCTACTTCTGACTATGAACCTACTTCTGACTACGAACCTACTTCTGACTACGAACCTACTTCTGACTACGAACCTACTTCTGACTACGAACCTACTTCTGACTACGAACCTACTTCTGACTACGGCCCTAATTGTGACTACGAACCTACTTCTGACTACGAACCTACTTCTGACTACGAACCTACTTCTCAGTACGAACCTGATTGTGACTACGACCCTAATTGTGGCTATATCCCTCGTGTGGTTACATCGCCACTTGTGGCTACAGTGTGTGGCTACTTCGACTGTTGTGGCTCTATCACCGGCTGAGGAAAGATTTCGATGACCCTGTCCTCCAGGATCTGCCGTGCCTTGATGGCCATCTTGATGCGGCTCAGGCTGGCGTCGACCCCGCGGTAGACGAGGGTGAAAAGGACGGTGAAGGTGAAGAAGAAGATGGTGACCACGATGACCCACATGGCGAACCAGTACGGCACTGGATGGCACTCGTGTACTTCCTGGCACTGGAACACCATAGCACAGCCTGAAACAGGGGGGGGGGGGCAATACGTGAATCATAGCACAGCCTGAAACAGGGGAGACAATTCGTGAATCATAGCACAACCTGAAACAGGGGGGAAATCCGTGAATCATAGCAGGGGAGATGATTCGTTAGTCATAGCACAGCCTGAAATAGGAGAAGACAATTCGTGAATCATAGCATGGGAGATCATTCGTTAGTCATAGCACTGCCTGAAACAGGGGAAGACAATTCGTGAATCATAGCAGGGGAGATCATTCGTTAGCCATAGCACAGCCTGAAAAAAGGGGTGACATTTTAGGAACCAATACACAGCACGAAAACGCCCCCTAATACTCTGAATACGAGAAAGTAAAAACGAAAAAAAAATGTTGAACTTCATCGTCTCTCTTTATAGACGTGGATTGTGACGACCACGCCCCTAGCCTTAAACTAACCACAGCCTTTTTTAAAAAAAAACGACCCAGTTACCGTTGATAAAAACATTAGCTTCATTTTCAAAGTTTCTTCCAGGCATCTTCAAGGAATGTCTACCGCCCCACCCCCCCCCCTCCCTCACCCGAATAAAATAGAATTTAGAAAATATATACTTTTACCAGTGTCCCCCCCCCCCCGTCCCGTCCCCACATTGGAAATTTTAGTCGTCCCCCCTCCGGACACCAGGTTGAGGAATCAGAAACTCTAGAAGAACCACACCTCTTTCCGACTTGACCACGCCCTCCTTCAATCAAGACAAACTCCTCCCACACCCCATACTTACAATACAAGAAGTGGCAGGGCAGATCTCCGTGACGTTAATATTAAACAAAAAAAAAACCAGCTTGAGAAATCAGAGCCTATTTTCGACTTGACTACGTACCATCAAACTAGCACAAACCACGCCCCCACCCTCACATCGCCTTACTCCCCCTCCCACTCCACACCACCCCCACACCGCCTTACTCCCCCTCCCACACCCACTCCACCCCACCCCCACACCGCCTTACTCCCCCTCCCCCTCCCACTCCACACCACCCCCACACCGCCTTACTCCCACTCCACCCCCACCTCACACCGCCTTACTCCCACTCCACCCCACCCTCACACCGCCTTACTCCCACTCCACCCCCACCTCACACCGCCTTACTCCCACTCCACCCCCACCCCCACCCCCACACCGCCTTACTCCCCCTCCCACACCCACTCCACCCCACCCCACACCGCATTACTCCCCCACCCACACCCACTCCACCCCACACCGCATTACTCCCCCTCCCACACCTACACCCACTCCACCCCACACCGCCTTACTCCCCCTCCCACTCCACCCCACCCCACACCGCATTACTCCCCCACCCACACCCACTCCACCCCTACCCTCACTGACCGTAAAAGAAGAGAAAGATCTCGATGACGTTGATGGAGATGAGGAGGGAGCTGACCCTGTTCTCGTACAGGAAGTGCTGGTAATCTGCGTACATCAACTTCATTACCAGACCCCAGAAGTCACGGATGAACCCCAGGGCGCCGCTCACCAGCAGGAAGGTAGGGGTGGAGGGGGCGTCGTTGCTGCCGTTGAAGTAGATAAAGCCGACGGCCATCTGGAAATAGAGAGGGTTCGTGGTCAGGGTGATGGGCCTAGTAAAGGTCATGGCTTAATACCATTTTCACGATCAATGTCAAGGTCAGAGTTAGAATCAAGGTCAGAGGTCAGGAGTTGCTGTAGAGGAGTCGGATGTTTATATTTCCACAACAACAGCGACACTAGGTTCTTCAGTCGGGGTTAAGATTTAGTTTACAGTAAGTCTACCAGCAGACGGTAAGCGATGATGACATACAACCCTAACCCACTGATCCCTGACATACAAACCTGACCCATAAAATACAATCCTGACCCCTGACATACACACCTGACCCCTGACATACAAACCTGACCCCTAAAATACCACCCTGACCCCTGACATACACACCTGACCCCTGACATACACACCTGACCCCTGACATACAAACCTGACCCCTGACATACAAACCTGACTCCTGACATACAACGCTGACATACAACCCTGACCCCTGACTTACAAACCTGACCCCTGACAGACAACCCTGACATACAAACCTGATCCCTGACAGATAAATCTGACCCCTGACATACAAACCTGACCCCTGACATACAAACCTGACCCCTGACATACAAACCTGACCCATGACATACAAATCTGACCCCTGACATACAAACCTGACCCCTGACATACAAACCTGACCCCTGAAATACAATCCTGACCCCTGGCATACAAACTTGACCCCTGATATACAAATCTGACCCCTGACAAACAACCCTGACCCCTGACATACACACCTGACCCCTGACATACAAATCTGACCCCTGACAAACAACCCTGACATACAACCCTGACATTCAACCCTGACCCCTGACATTCAACCCTGACCCCTGACATACAAACCTGACCCCTAACATACAACCCTGACCCCTGACATACAACCCTGACCTTGGTGATTGGGATGAGCATAATGAGCACCACGCAGGCGGCGTAGCAGAAGATGGACAGGACCCCACAGAACACGGTGTACACGTGACTCGCGGGGTGGCTCAGCGACTTCCGGGCCAGTCGAATCTTCAGGAACACTGACCCCCGGGTGTCCAGCATCCGGGAGGGGATGTGGACCTCCACCCCGTCCCCGGAGGAGTCCGTCTGCTGGTCCAGGGCTCGAGACTTTTTGTCGGCTTTGGGGAACAAGTTGGACGCTTCATTGACGGAGGCCACAGTGTCAGACACTGCTGAGGCCGCAGTGTCGGAGACCGCAGTAAAAGGGCTGGACAATTTGTGGGACTTGCTGCGCCTGTCGTTTTGGGTTGCATTACTGCATGTGGTTTCTGCGCCACAACTTGCCCCATCGTGGGGGGTGAGTGTGGGTGTGGAGTTGTTTGGGGTGACGTGTACATTCTCCTCCACGTATGTGATACGGCCTTGCCGTGTGGCGTCGGTCTCCCGTTTACTCCGGCTACCACCTTTGAAGTTGGTGGCCTCGGGGATAAAATTAGAAGAACGGGAATTCCCGGCCAGCAGCCTAGCTGCTATCGGGCTTTCCCGCAGACCGTCAGCTGGGTCCGAGGAGGGCTCGTCGACGAGGTTGAGGGAGGCCCTCCTCTCTAGCAGGGCCGCGGGATAGCGGCTCAGGTGTAGGAAATGTTGGCCCAACAGGCGGATGCGGCTCGGGGTCCCCCGCTCGCTCTGTGGGGGTGTGGGGTCAAGGTCATCAGACATCTCGGCGGTGTGTGTGTGTGTGTGTGTGTATATGTGTGTGTGTGTCGCTGATTACATCATGGGTAGATCTTTTGAAACAGAAATAAAGAGGCTGGAAGGTCTTGGCTGGAAATAAACAAAATATCCACCAATCATCTAGTTTTGGAGTAATGTCGAATCATCCCCCCCCCCCCCCCTGCTTTACATGAGGTCGAAAAGTTTGAGAAAGTAGGAAGCTGTATTAAGAGTCAAAGACTGAGTGTACCTAGTACAAGCAGTGTCGTATGGTGTTTGTTTCTATTAGAATTACTGTGTTTTTGGATTTGGGGTATAGGGTTAGCGACGCATTCTGGATTAACCTGCGGATTAACATGGTTAGAGAAGCGATTCGAATAACTCCTCTTTAAAATATATGCTTTTTCTTAAACTCTTGCATGTGTGTGTGATATCTTATCTAGAGCTGGAGTCTAGAAGATTCTTATGGATTCTAGATCTACTCATTTTAACAATCTAACCATACTTCAGCTACAAATAAATTACAAACCTATGTCCTTAAGCTCCAAAGAAATTACTGCCTATGCCTGTAAGATCTAAACAAATTATTAAACCAGATCTAGAATCTGTCCTTAAGCTCTAAAGAAATTACTAACATATGTCCTTTTGTTATATTGTTATAAGTTATAAATATACTAAAATGTGTTTACCCTTTAAAACTGTCTACGCACTAAATAAAACCTGTGTAATTTCTGAAGGAAAACTTTCTTATCTTCCGGATATCAAGATTCTACATTTGTAAACATTGGGATGTTCGTTCACTCGTGGTGCTAAATTGTGCTCACATTTCAAAGATGTCATTAGTAAATGCCGGGCCAGTGAACTGTTGTAATGAGCATAGATTAATTAATAGAGATAAATAAAAATGGTAGCTGCAGTGAGGTTTTTTCAAATAGTAACTAAACGGACAGATGATGTTGTGATGGTCTTAAGATGTGGTGGTGATGTGGGGGGAGGGGGAAGTCTTAAGATGATGTGATGATATGGGGGATGGTCTCAAAATGTTGTGGTGATGTGAGAAAGGTCTCAAGATAATTAATTGTGTTATGTTAATTTGAGATTGTTAATTGCGTGAAGTTTATTATGCTGTAATTATGCTGATAGTGTTGATAGCCGAATAACCTAAGCAACAAGCTGGATTATTTATACTCAGAGGAGCTCAACTTTTATTTGATCAACTCTGAAATGTCACAAACGACTTTTCGCTGTGCAGTAGAACTGTTTAGGAAACAATTTCATTTTTTTTGTATGCGGTAATGTCGAGCCTATTTCGGTTAAAATCTTTGACAAAATTTAGCACATGTAAGCTATACACCAATAAAAACTAAAATATACACTTACATATTTTTTACACCCTATATCTGGTTGTCTCCGTTTGGACTGGTGTAACACAAACCCAACAGGAATCAAAGTCAAGGACACCACAAAATGGGAAGATATTTATTGCACAGATTTATAGAGCTAAAGCACAATTCACAGACACTAAATGACAGGCAACATCCTTGATGTCAGCTCCTTTTCTCACAATAAACCATCTCCTCTCCCCAACAATCATCCCATGACCCCAACAATCATCTCATGACCCCAACAATCGTGCACAAAATCATCTCATGGCCCCCAAAAATGGTACAAAAAATCATTTCATGCCCCAACAATCATCCCATACCCAAGAAAAGTTTCTGCATACCTTACCCCCTTTCGTCCCATACTATACCACAGGGTAAACATATTTTTGTGAGGTTCTTAAAGGCACAAAGGTGCTTAAATCATTCATTTATGTAATACATGAGCCATTTACTTAACCAAGGTGTTCAGTTGTTGTAAGATCGCCTTCAAGCAGACATAATAGACTCATGAACAGTGACCTAACAGCCTGTCCCAATACAGCCGTCAAACAGGCTGTCCTACATTTTAAAACCTGTTGTGTTTTTGTGGCTGCCACTATAGTTCTTCAAACATTTTTCTAGCTATTTACATTTCGTGTCCTTTTATGGTTTAAATATTTTAGATGTGTGTCACTTGTTGCTAACTTTTTAGAACCTTGTCGCGTGACGCGGCGTTTACACTTGCGACATGTATACTATACATGTCTAGAAAAAAAATCTCGCAACAGCTTAAATTTCCATGGAAACGTTAGTCCCCATGGAACATGTATACTATATTTTTAGACATGTATAGTATACATGTCGCAAGTATAAACGTAGTGTTATGCTAACAATTTAGTTTTGTCACAAAGTGCCAATGTTATTTTAAACTCAGGATGTGACACAACATAAACAGGATTAGATCAGTTCGAGACGTTTCCTTAGGTGCAGCTTTTGTACTGCATTACGCCGGCTGTCTGGGTAGTTCCCTGCGCCTCCTGGGGGCGATGTGTACGGTGATGGCCCGGGGGGTGGCGCAGCACCGGAGGTAGCAGTTGATGATGATCCCGCAGATGGAGAGAAGGATGAGGAACACCAAGGAGACGGTGACGAAACCGTAGGCGAACCCAAACAGCAAGGGGTTGCAGTAGTTCGGTGACGTCACATCCGTTGAGAAATCGTGGAGGGAGTACGTGAACAAGGTTTCTGTGGATGGGTAGTGTTGGTAAAAAAAAGTGTCTGGAGAAAGTGTAAGAAATCAAAACGTGCAGACCATTTTCTATCAGAGAAATTCCTTTTAAACTTTTCAATTCCATATAAACTATGATAAACACTAACATTTTTATTAAGGTATTTACCTACGGGATCCGGTGTTTACCTGTTATAAACGCGGCGTTTAACTGCTATAAACCCTGTGTTTACCTGCTATAAACCCTGTGTTTACCTGCTATAAACCCTGTGTTTACCTGCCATAAACCCTGTATTTACCTGCTATAAACCCGGTGTTTAACCTGCTATAAACCCTGTATTTACCTGCTATAAACCCTGTGTTTAACTACGATAAACCCTGTATTTTCCTGCTATATACGCAGTGTTTACCTGCTATAAACCCTGTATTTACCTGCTATAAACCCAGTATTTTTGTGCTATAAACCCAGTGTTTACCTGCTATAAACCCTGTATTTAACTACGATAAACCCTGTATTTTCCTGCTATATACGCGGTGTTTACCTGCTATAAACCCGGCATTTACCTGCTATAAACCCAGTAATTACCTACTATAAACCCAGTGTTACCTGCTATAAACCCGGTGTTTACCTGCTTTAAACCCTGTATTTACCTGCTATAGACCCTGTATCTACCTGCTATAAACGCGGTGTTTACCTGCTATAAACACGGTGTTTACCTGCTATAAACCTTGTATTTACCTGCTATAAACGCGAACGACTGAGCCACACAGAGCAGCGCCTCTATGCCGTACATAAGGTCGTCCAGACAGCTTGAGTAATCCAGGTGGGTGATAATCCAGGTCTGGATTAACTCCCACGCGATGTTGGCAGACGTGAGCAGGCTGAAGACCAGCAGACACAGGGGGATTAGTGGCAGCGCTGGGCAGTCATGCATGTAGGTCACGGCGATCACGAACTGCGGGGTCAGAGGTCAGAGTGTAACGTGATGGTGAGGAGAGGCATACGATACACACAGAAGTGTTATATACAGGCTTTCATGAAAACACACTGGAAGTCTGACAAACTACACAACACACCATCCACCAAACACACCTGACACCCCTGACCTACCAGACACCTAACACAATGTACACTAACACACCTGACACCATGTACCTGACACACCTGACACCATGTACCAGACACACCTGACACCATACCATCCACCTGACACCACCACACCGTGTACCTGACAGAGCGCACACAAACAAAACGCCACGTCCAAGATCTGGAAGCAGAAATCCGCCACGACAATCCGGACCGTCTGATGCCGTCTCCGAACTCGCCGGATCCGCCGGATCCTTCTCTTCCGGCGCGATGTCGGCAGATACGGGTACCTCTCTTCCAACCATTTCTCCGACTCGGAAATCGCCTCTGTGACGTCACTTTTCTTCTCCCCTGTGACGTCAGGGAGGAGAGGGACAGCGAGAGGAGCGATGGAGGGTTTCAGGAAGAAATGCTGGCAGTTCAAGAGTTTGGTTTTGGGCGCTCTGTGGGCTTCTGAGTACCCGGGGACGGGGCTGGTGCTGGTGGGGGAGGGGCTGGGGCTTTCCTGACCCTGGGGGTCAAGGTCGACCACCGCGTCGACCGTGGGAAGACGGCAGGTGTCGTCTGCTGAAACTTTTGTCTTGGGGAAAGATGTCGAGGACAGCAGAAGTCTGCTGATGCCATACATAGCAGAACTAAGGCAGTGCCTGGGGGTTGAAACAACAACGGTGGTGCTCAGATAAACACAAATAACAGGAGTGGATCTTAACAATGGTGCTGCTTAGATAAGCATAAATATATTATGGCAATGAGAATTAAAATCATTTTCTTATGCGGGTTGATCAGCCTGCAGTAGCAGTAGCAGTAGCAGTAGCAGTAGCAGTAGCAGTAGCAGTAGCAGTAGCAGTAGCAGTAGCAGTAGCAGTAGCAGTAGCAGTAGCAGTAGCAGTAGCAGTAGCAGTGGCAGTGGCAGTGGCAGTGGCAGTGGCAGTGGCAGTGGCAGTGGCAGTGGCAGTGGCAGTGGCAGTGGCAGTGGCAGTGGCAGTGGCAGTGGCAGTGGCAGTGGCAGTGGCAGTGGCAGTGGCAGTGGCAGTGGCAGTAGCAGTAGCAGTAGCAGTAGCAGTAGCAGTAGCAGTAGCAGTAGCAGTAGCAGTAGCAGTAGCAGTAGCAGTAGTAGTAGCAGTAGCAGTAGCAGTATTTAGTTAGGCCTATTATTGAGAAGAGTTATGACTTGTATTTCGACATGTTACACGAACAGGCGATTTAAGCATCCTTACATGCGACGGCATTTAACTAAACGTATTACTATTCGAATACCAATATAGAAGTAGATTACTATGCACGTTGGTCTAACTTGAGGCAAACACCACTCGCTACATTAGAACACCATAACACAACCATCTACTTGTGGTAGCACTAAACAAGGGTAGCCATGATGGTAGCCGGAGTAGCACGGATGACTGATTTGTCTGAGATCTCAAGAGGATGACCCACTCACAGTATAAACAGAGGGGGGCTTCGGGTCAACATGGCGGCCATGAACGGATTCGAAATGTGCGCAGAGTTCGGGGATTCCCATTCATCCATGCACAGCGTGTAAACAAGAAAAGTGTCAAGTGGTTTTGTGTACAAAGGAAGATCTTTAAAATGACACCTTTAGAAATTAAAACAATTCTAATTAGTTCTTTTGCACTTAATTACGTGGGCATACTGGATGGGAATGTTTTGGCCGAGTAGGAGAGCATATGATTGCCAACCCTTATTTCGAGTTCGGATCCTCGGGCGTATGAGGCTCGTTGGCAGTGGACTGACACAAATCAAGAAAAGAAAAAACAAGTTAATAAAAAGTCTAGTGACAATTTAAGCGCAATTTCCTTAATTAATTTTTTGTGACCGAACGAAAGGAAATTTTTGAAAACTTTCTTCGGCAATGTTGTTCTAAATTATGGCAGGAATCGATTGGTAAATGTTTCAAGTCGCTAAATGGTCTGGTTGCCGAGATATGGGCCAAAAACTGCATTTTTTCGAGGGTTTTTTGGCTTTTCCGGGAAATCCAGGAAGGAATTCCGGGAATTTTTTTGACCCACAATCGTCCTCGGACCTTGCTTAACATATTTGCTTTGGAACTAGTCCTCGATATTGCTTCGTCGAGGAGGAGATACGGTGCGCGGACCTTTGACCACAGGTGCTTTGACCATAGGGGGTTTGACCATAGGGGGTTTGACCACAGCGGAGCTTTGACCATAGGGGCTTTGACCATAGGGGGTTTGACCACAGCGGGCCTTTGACCATAGCGGTGCTTTGACCATAGGGGGTTTGATCATAGGGGGTTTGACCATAGGGGGTTTGACCACAGGTGTTTTCTCAGCAGAGGGTCTTTGATCACAGGTGGTCTATCAACGGGTCTTTGATCACATGCGCTGTGTCCGGCTTTGATCATAGGTGTGATACAATTAACACGATTTTATACATGTTTCCTGAGAGTACGTTAATAGAAATTAACATGTATTTTAAAAAAAGACAAGAACTATAAAGGCTGGTGCTAGGCCTCATAGATTTATTTTAAGTATAAATGAAACACAAATAATGCGACATATAACAAGTTTCACAAATAAATAATGTAGATGTACTTGAAAATACATAGCATATATAAAGGATAAAAATGATACAAAACTTGCCAACAATATAGTCAAAGATGTAATACATAAAATGGTTAAATAATGACAGATGTGCTATAGCACGCAAATATGTCAGTACATCTGTTTGACCATATGTCTAGACAGCACGTTGTACTTTTTCGTGCAGCATCTTGTATCGCTTCTCAGCTGGGTAGCTTGCCCTGCGACACTTTGCAAGAAAGTTGTCTTTTGCCGTGTGCATTCCATCTGTAGACCTTCAAGGAAACGCCCCATTGTTGGGTGACTACATTGGAGGAGAGACTGAAGACTGTAATGCCATCCTTCACAAATGTTATTTGTTCGTGCTACACCATCGCCAATTGTGTGCATTTGATTCCAAGTTTCAACTGGAAACAAAACACCTGAGATCAAAGACCCTATGTGGACAAAACGCCTATGATCAAAGCCGGACACAGCGCTTGTGATCAAACATCCGTTGATAGACCACCTGTGATCAAAGACCCTCTGCTGAGAAAACACCTGTGGTCAAACTCCCTATGGTCAAACCCCCTATGATCAAACCCCCTATGGTCAAAGCACCGCTATGGTCAAAGGCCCGCTGTGGTCAAACCCCCTATGGTCAAAGCCCCTATGGTCAAAGCTCCGCTGTGGTCAAACCCCCTATGGTCAAACCCCCTATGGTCAAAGCACCTGTGGTCAAAGGTCCTAGGACCGGAGATACGACTTAAACCTGCGGACACACATCCATCCATCCATCCATCAATCCATCCATCCATCCATCCATCCATCCATCCATCCATCCATCCATCCATCCATCCATCCATCCATCCATCCATCCATCCATCCATCCATCCATCCATCCATCCATCCATCCATCCATCCATCCATCCATCCATCCATCCATCCATCCATCCATCCATCCATCCATCCACCCACCCACCCATCCATCCATCCATCCACCCACCCACCCACCCGCCCACCCACCCACCCACCCACCCACCCATCCATCCATCCATCCATCCATCCATCCATCCATCCATCCATCCATCCATCCATCCATCCATCCACCCACCCACCCATCCATCCATCCATCCATCCATCCATCCATCCACCCAACCACCCACCCACCCACCCATCCATCCATCCATCCATCCATCCAGAAATAACGAATTAAAAATCGCAATTGTCAGTATGGAAATTGCGCTAAAAAATTCCAAAATCAAACAACTGCTGCCATGCATGTTCTTGAGTGGACAAAGGCTATGCAAGCTATGTTAACACAGTTCTATTCAAGCACTCAATGTTCTTTTATAAAGATAAACAAACTTTGGATTGAAATTATTAATGATATAAAACAGTGTGGGTAACAAGTAAGAAATCGTGTACATATTTAACGTAGATAAGTGGTGGAGGTTTCATTTTATTGAGCACAAGGTCCTGGTGTCTGTAAGTCTGTATGTCTGTCTGTGAGTAGCTGGATTTGTGACCATACAAATTAAGTAAATATTAAAGATGGTTATTTACAGCAGATGTGTAGGTAGATGAGTTAGACAAACGTTAAATTGATTTCAGTATTTTTTACTTTAAAATGTCCTTCAACCATCATATGGTGTGTGAAGCAGATTAAATAGAGTCAATCTTTCTCTGACAATAACAGATTCAATTTAGGCTGATTTACTAAATTTTACCCTCCTCCTACCCCCAACTACCCTCAAAGGGCTGATCGTCTCAACCCACCCCCCCCCCCCCCCCCCCCCATCTCCACCCCAGCTCACCTCACAATTTATTTCCGCAAGTATTGATTAATCGGATCATCGGTAAGATTATGTATATGTTACGGTCAAAGCCCGAAGTGCCCGAAGAACTTAGCACTAAGATCGTATTTGTACATTGGCCGGCCAATGCGCGCACTGGCCGGGAGGTACTGACCAAAGCCCGAAGCGCTTAAACTTAACAGCGTATTTTGTACATTGGCCGACCAATGCGTGCACTGGCCGGGATGTCCTGGCCAATGTTCTATCTAGACTAAGTTGTGATCGCGTTTTCATTATTCTGGATGCGGTTTCATTGTGAGTAACGTATTGTTTAGCTCTTGTTTGTATTGTTCTATATGCAAGGCGACATGGTTCAAAGGGACGTCAGACCATGAGACAGACATAGCAGATGGCTTTGTAAATCCATGATAGTTTCCATATATGGGCTACAACTGTGTGTGACAGCCTCCTCCATGCTGACAATTATCAAAGAACAAAATCAAAGACAGTCGGCGTCACCGACCACGTGCAACAAGACGGAAAGTTCAAAAGGCTTTGCCGCGTTCCTTGTAAGTTGAACAAGCGACTTGTGATGGCGTGGGCGTCAGAAACCATATTTCCCCAACAAAAGGGGAATACAAAATAAAGCACACCCATCACCGCGCCTTGACTGGACTGCATGATAAATACCGACAGAATTGCATTCCAGATTTCATTGCACTGCGGATTACTTGACTGTTTAACACTACGTTTGCTTGATTGTGGAGTCATGACTGCCAAAATCGGTAAGTTTTAGATCTTTGATTATTATAATACAGACAGTGATTTTTTTTACTATAGTATCAGCCTGTCTGTAATTGGAATTATAGAGAAACTATTGTAATAGTGAAAAAACAAATCGAGATTTTTGCAAATCTCCCTGAGTCGGAAAAACATAGTTTTGCAATAGTGTCCGTATGTCTCTCTGTGTGTATGTGTGTGTGTATGTGTGTGTGTGTGTATGTGAACACGATAACTTGAGTACCGTTACAGTTACGCAGATGAAATTTGATATATCAGTATTATATCAAATGTGTAGATCTGCATAACTTCAGATAGATAAATGAAATTTCACGTATAAGTAAAATATCTAATTCTCTTCCTTCTGTTAAATTTTGAGTAATTTCCGTTGACCGGAAGTAGTAATTTACACATTTTATTTGGCGTTCACCTAGTGCGCAATTCTTTTTCTACGCGATTCTATTATATTTTTAAAAGTTTAAGTAATTAAAATGCATTAACAGTAATGCCTATATCCCGAGTT